TGTCCCTTACAAAACCACGGCCGCTGTAGCCGATCCATGAAATTCCTGTTGTCACAATCCATTGCACAAAGAGAGCCATGCTTCCCTGCGTGCAAGCACGCGCGCGATGTGTTCCTCGGCGTGTGATCAAGCACTCGCTTGTGAGTGTACGCTGCTGTGTCCCAGTGTTCGTTAAGGCCATACCCACGATTTTGGCGGGCTGGCATACATAAATGGCGCGTCACCTTGCCGGTGCCTTTACATCCGCTCATTTGCACGCATTGATTGCGCATCGCCGGGGTGAAAGTTCCCGGGATGCCCGCTTGTGATTCTAATTCGGCCCCAGCTGTACGCTTTCTCCATGGGACGGCCATAGGTGGGAAGTACTCGAACACACACACTGCTCGCCTCACCCGTCTTTACCGTTGCCGCCTACTCGAAAAAGCCAATGATTGATGAAAAGAGCGAAAAGAGACTGAGCGTGATCGCATGGAAAGAAGGGGCAGCCAGCAGTTGTGTTGTGTGTCGCAGTCTCCCAGGCCAGGTGTTCCCGTTTGCTCTCGATGCCCGTACGCCGTCCGTCCGCTGTGGTTTGCGTGTACACCCGTTTGCTCGTGCGTGCTTTCCTAGACTATACTAGTATGGACCACATCTATCATTGCTCCGTCTGAAAACTCTCGTGTTTTTGAACACGCGTGTTTGTGTTTATTAACACGCGTTGTACGACGACCAGGCCGTGTTTTTTTAATAAAGGTTGTGTTTTTCAACACGCGTTGTACGACGATCAGGTGGAGTGATGATGTTGTACCATGTAGGTTAACTCGTTCCATCTATCATTACTCCGTCGGAAGACTCCGTCTTTTTTTGACACGCGTTGTAGGATAAACAGGCGGAGTCGATGAAGTTGTACATTGTCCCACGTGGGTTAACTCCGATACATGCGCCTTCCTTTTTCTTGCTGTGGAAACCCGAGTTCGATTCTCGGATTGGAAGCCACTCTCCGCTTCTTTTTCTTTTTTTCTCTGTTATTATTATTATTATTATTTATCATTTCCATCATCATTTATTTAGTGATATTCTTCCAACTGTGGTCACCACTGTGTTTCCTTCTTTTAGTAATTTATTCACGTCTTTTTCTCTTTTTTTTTGTTCTCTCATATC